CCCTGGTCCTGGGTACGTGCTGGAGGCAACCGATCGATGTGTCTCTCCCTCTTTCTGTCTCTCCCTCTTCCTTCCACTCTCTCTAAAAATCAATGGGGAAATTTCCTTGGGTGAGGATTAACACGAATGAATGAATGAATGAATGGGTGGATGGATGGATGGGAAAGCTCTGAGGACCCAGGGTGCACCCCCAGGAGCCGCACCAGCTACGTTCGGTGGCTCCTGGCACCTGGGAGCCTGCAGGTCCCCTCCCTGGGCCCCAAGGGCACTGGTGTCTGACACCGTGTGTGCGACAGATGCTGGGGCGGAGGGGGTGCTGGTCCGCGTCCAGCTCACAGCAGCGCCTCCCGGACGGGCCTGTGCCCCCCTCACAGCTCAGGGCTCCGCTCGGTGCTCACTGTCCCGCAGTCGCTGGTGGTCGGCTCATCACCTTTTTCTTTCTGTTTTTGGAAACAAGGTGGAATTTCACTTGAAAACAGCGGGGCTGGTTGGTTTTGATTTGAAATATCTGTGCGACCTCCTTCCCTTAGGCCATCCCCACTCTCCACATTCCTCAGTGTTTACCAAGCACAGATGTTCACGCATCCTGGCATTTCCCCACTGGTGAGGAAAGCAGGTGTCTCCGTTTTTTTTTTTACATTCAACTCTGTTTGTATCTGTTTCAGGTGTACAGCAGGGTGGTCAGATGACCACATACAAAGCCTCCCCTGCCCCCCGACATTCCAGGCCCACCCGGCACCGCGCGTGCTGTTACGTGACGCCCACGGGGGTGCGTTGGGGGCGGGAGAAAGCAACCTCTCTCTAGGGAACCTCTAGGCCCGTGACGGCGAACCTTTGAGCTCGGTGTGTCAGCATTTTGAAAAACCCTAACTTAACTCTGGTGCGTGTCACATATAGAAAGTGTTTGATATTTGCAACCATAGTAAAACAAAGACTTATATTTTTGATATTTATTTTATATATTTAAATGCCATTTAACAAAGAAAAATCAACCCAAAAAATGAGTTCACACGTGTCACCTCTGACAGGCGTGTCATAGGTTTGCCATCACTGGTCTAGGATAAGGTACAAGGGAGAGACGCACCCGCTTCCCACGGGAGGGACCAGGCGTTCACAGGGAGCACCGCAGCCGTGGAGACGGCATCGGGGACCGAGAGCCGAGAATTCCACGCTCTGCTCCTCCCGATAACCTCCTTTCCCGCGTGGTTGGAGCGGGTGTCAGTGAGGCCCTTAACGTCCAACCCTATTAAATGTGCAGACGCTGGTCGCCTGCGGCAGACAGAATCTGAGTGAAAATTGTAGTGGAAGGTGATTGTTTGGTAAATTAATCAGTAACACAGCGGAGCTGTTTGCCTGGTTAATTACTTTTCCCTGCCTGTCGACTCCGCCTGCACAAGAGAAAGTCATCTGTGTGCTCCGCATTCCTGTTTGCTCAGCAGAACGCGTGTCTGTGCATGTCCACGCGTGTCTGTGCATGTCCACGCGTGTCTGTGCATGTCCACGCGTGTCTGTGCATGTCCACGTGTGTCTGTGCGTGTGTGGCCTGTGTGTGGCCTCTCACCCGTCCGTTTCCACCTTTGACGGCTGCACGGACAGGGGCTCTGCTGTCGGCGGCGGACACCTGTTCTCCTGCCCAACTGCCCCCAGAGCCACGGGTGCGCTTCCCTCCGGAGGAGGGTGGGGCTCAGCTTTCACCGCCACCCCCTCTACGTGGTCCCAGCAGCGGCTCGAGGGGGAGCAGGTCACCCCGAGTCAGGCGTGGTCTCCGGGTCTGGAGACTGGGGAGCCCGCACCCGCCTTCCTGGCTGGGAGTGGGGGGCTCGGCCTGTTACTCATCAGACTCGGTTTCCTTAATAAAACTGATACAATAATAGCTCTTCTATCTAATAAGGATCAAATCATGGAATCATTAACAGTATCACTAAGTAGTCTTAATTGTTAACATACTTGATAATGATTGAATAGTTTTCACATGGTAATATTAAGTAATATTTTAAAAATATATTATATGACCCTGCCGGTGTGGCTCAAGGGTTGAGCATTGACCTATGAACCAGGAGGTCAGGGTTCGATTCCCCGTCAGGGCACAGGCCTGGGTTGGGGACTCCATCCCCAGTGGGGGGCGTGCAGGAGGCAGCCCATCCATGGCTCTCATCATTGATGTTTCCCTTCCTCTCTGAGATCAATAAAAACATACTATGTACATACATATACATACACACACACACATGCATACTATGTTGAGCACAGGCTGCCACATTGAAGCTACTATTCCACAGCTTTTCCTCTTCTCCTTCGCGTATACGGACTCGCACTTGAACTGCGGTGGGTTCAGTGGGAAGCTGCAGGAAGAACCCACTGGTTCCCGGAGGTCACGGGGTCACGGAGGAATGCACCCACCTGGTCAGAACGGGCTCCTCTCCTCGGGAGACGACACCTCGTGTGTGCGCTCCCCGCTGGGCCCTCTGTTCTCATTCACAGACGGCCCCTCCCGGGCTCAGAGAGTCCCACACCCGCTTCCCCAGCAACACCCCCCTCACCAACCTCACACACAACCACGCGGCGGGCAGTGTGGCGCAACTTTGTTTGCCTGTTGGCGTTTGGCCGGAGGTGGAAAATGGCTGGGTGGCTGAGAAGACCTCAGTGGACGGGTCATTTGCCGAGTCCTGTGTAACACAGGGTCCCCTGCACCCCAGCAGCCGAGGGCTCTGGTGCACGAGCTGTCGGCGTCACTGCACTGAGCTAGTTCAGTTCCTCTTCCAGACAAATGCGTGCTCAGTGGTGGCAGAGCATTAAGTACCATGACCCCCCCTGAATCTACCCTAAGGATCCCCAAACACCAGTCGGAAAGAAGGCGTGCACCCCCTGTTCACAGCAGCACAATCTACAACAGCTGAGATCTGGAAGCAGCCCAGGTGCCCATCAGGAGACAGGTGGATAAAAAGCTGTGGAATACTATGCAGCAGTGAAAAAGGAGGGGCGGGAGGGGGGGGATGGGGACATCTGCAATACCCTCAACAATAAACACAAATAAATAAAGAGAGAGAAAGCCACAGGCCGAGAAGAGAGCAGGAGGCTGATGAGAAAGACGTGCTGATGGGGACACAGAATTAGTGTCGTTAGGAGGAAAGGAAGAGGACTCCCCAGAGCTTCCCCGTCAGCGCAGCCGTGGAGGGCACAGCGCGTGAGTGGCCCGGGAAGGGGCTCTGACCAGACCATACCTGGCCCTGACCCCCCACTTCCCACCTGACGGTGCATTTTGCTCGAGGTGACTGAGCCCCGAGACAACGACTGGACTGGGAGGTGCTCGTTTCTGAGCCGCGCAGTCGCACGACATCGCAGCACGTGGCGGACGGGGCACCGCTTGCTAATGACCACAGGCCTGGGGGACGGAACCCGAGCAGCTGGAGGACGCGCCGTGGAGGACACGCAGGTAGGAGTTCAAGGGCAGGAGCCACGCGCGGCGTTATTTTGGGAACAACACACAAAGGGGCCTATTGAAATGCGCGCTGGCTTTCTCGGGACCAGGGGGGCAGCCAAGCGCAGTTAATCAACAGCAGGGAAATAATTAAAAGGTAAATGCAGGGGACTGTCACCGGCCCAGAAAACAGCAGACACGGCAGCCGCCTGGTTGGCAGAAGCAAAACTATTCCAAGTCGTGATAAGAATGACCAGGAGCCTCAGAGAAGCAGGTGCTGGCCCCGGATTCGCTGCTGCAGGGATAAGAACGACAAGATCGAGGGCCGAGAATGCAGGGGGTGTTCACAGGGAAGGAGGCATTGGCCTCTGTGACGTCGTCCGCGGGACTGAAGCGAACGCTGTGGGATCGGCGGCCACACTTACATCAGCCTCTGCTCTGACAACGGAGGAAAGGGGCGCCCTCCAGAGACGGGGTCCCCTGAGCGTGCGGCTCTTTCTCGGGTTCTGGGTCACACTGAGTTCTTCCCAGACACGATGTGCGGGTTCCGGAGAGGCCTGGGTGGGTCGCTCTGCGCTTTAAGAGGGGACAGTTGGACCGTGCTATGTTGAGGGGCGTCGGCTTCCCTCTGCAGACCTGGGATCAAAGGCTGGTTTCGTGAACACCTAATAGAATGCAGTTCAGCGACTTCAGCCCCTTATCCTGTAATGATTTTATTTAGAAATCGTAGCCATTTGTGTAATTCTTGTCCCATCGGCAGGACTCTAGTTGCTTCGGCCTAAGAAGACCGAGCAGCAACACCAGCAGCCGCGGCAAACCCCGCGGCCACTCCGCGCTGTGCTGAGTCCCGGCCACAGCAGGTCATGCAGGCCCTTGCTCTCTCTTTACAGGCGGGAAACTGTCAACGTTTGCTCTACATTCTTTTCTCAGAGACCAGGATTCAAATTCCAGTAGGTTCTTTTTTCTTTTCTTTTTAAAAAATATATTTGTATTGATTTCAGAGAGGAAGGGGGAGGGGGAGGGAGAGAGGGAGAGAGAGAGAGAGAGAGAAACATCAATGATGAGAGAGAATCATGGATCGGCTGCCTCCTGCACCCCCCACCCCGGGGATGGAGCCCGCCACCTGGGCCTGTGCCCTGACGGGGAATCCAACCCTGACCTCCTGGTTCATAGGTCAACGCTCAACCACTGAGCCACCCTGGCCAGGCCTTTTTTCTTATAGTTTTTCCTCCTAAATCCAGTTCAAATACGTCATTTCCTGGCTCAAAAGAAACCGATGTGTTCGGCCCCATAGGGGGCAACCCTGTGGTTTTCACGACGTATTCGGTCCCCAGGCCCCGGGCCGTTCAGTTCCGTGACGTTGCCCCGGCCCAGCCCGCCTCCAGGTTGTGGGCAAATTAACCCCACCCCTCGGACCCCGTGTGTCCAGGGAACGTGGCTCCCGGGTCTGAGGACCGTCCGCCCCCTGCCCTTCCCCTCGGGCCCGTGACAGGCCCGGCCGCCCTCTCAGGCAGCGCTTCCACTTATTCCTCGGCCACAGCCGCTCTGGGCCGGGCCTCCCACCTGCCTGGACCAGGGGCACCTGTTCACGTCACGGGATCGGTGGGGGCAGCTCCTGGTGACCTGAGGGCGGCGCCAACGTTCAGGACGATGCCCACGGGCACAGGCACCGTCTCCCGGCTTCTTGGAAACCGGAGAAGCACAAAGCGTGTTTCTGTCCGGGTTCCAAGCAGCTCCGGCCGCCTCGCACGCGGGGCTGCCTGCGCGTCCCTCATTGGCCGAGAAAGCTGCGGCACCTGCTCTGCCAGTTTGCCTGTCACAGGGAGGGAGGCCGGGCGGCCGGCACTGGATCAAATCTAATAGCAGGAGGCAGCCGGGCAGCTCGGAGGGAGAAGCCAGGTTCTGAGCTCATTCCTGCAGGACTGTTCTCTGGGCTCAGGCTCAGGAGCCCAGCCGGAGAGCCGCCCGGGCCCGGGCGCAGACCTGGACCAGAACCAGGACCAGGACCAGGACCAGGACCAGGACGAAGACCAGACAGGAGCAGACCAGGACCAGGACCAGACCAGGACCAGGACCAGGACAAGGACCAGGACCAGACCAGG